TACCCACGAGTCATTTATTTTGCCTCTAGAAGTTTGTACCTTCTGGTCTCCCTCACTTCTTTCTCTTCTCCCCTGAGCCCCTTTATATCTGGCAACCACCTGTTAGTCTTGTGTGTCTGTGAGTTGTTTCTGTTCTGTTATGTTTGTTCATTTGTTTTGTTTTTTAGATTCCACATGTAAGTGAAATCATACAGTAATTGTCTTTCTCTGTCTGACTTATTTCAGTCAGTATAATACCCTCTAAGTCCATCAATATCACAAATGGCAAGATTTCATTCCTTTTATGGCTAAGTAATATTCCATAATATATATGTGTTCCCATATATATATACATATTGCATCTTCTTTATCCATTTGTCTAGTGATGGGCATTAGGTTGCTTCTATATCTTGGCTATTATAGATAATACTGCAAAAAACATAGGTGTGCATGTATCTTTTCTAACTTGTGCTTTCATTTTCTTCATATACATACCATAAAGTAGAATTGCTGGATTATGGTAGTTATCTTTCTAATTTTTTGAAGAACCTCCATACTGTTTTTCACAATAGCTGTACCAATTTACATTCCTAGCAATAGAGCATGAGGATTCCCTTTTCTCCATATCCTATCCAACACTTGTCATTTGTTGTCTTTTTTTATATAGTCATTCTGACAGGTTTGAGATGATACCTTATTGTGGTTTTGATGTGCATGTCCTTAGTAATGACATAAAGCTTTCTTTCATGTGCTTCTTGGCAATCTATAAGACTTCTTCCCCCAAAAAAATGTCCATTTAGACCTGCTGCCCATTTTTTAACTGGGTTGTTTGGACTTTTGTGGTGTTTTGTTATCGTTGTTTGAATTCTTCATATATTTTAGATCAGTGAGTTCAGTTCATGCATACAGTTGTGTCCAACTCTTTGTGACCCCATGGACTGCAGCATGCCGGCTTCACTGTCCATCAACAACTCCCATAGCTTGCTCAAACTAATGTCCATTGAACCGGTGATGCCAACCAACCATCTCATCTTCTGTCATCCCCTTCTCCTTTTACCTTCAGTCTTTCCCAGCATCGGGGTCTTTTCTAATGAGTCAGCTCTTCACATCAGGTGGCCAAACTATTGGAGCTTCATCATCAGTCCTTCCAAAATATATTCAGGACTGATTTCCTTTAGGATTGACTAGTTGGATCTCCTTGCTGTCCAAGAGACTCTCAAGAGTCTTCTTCACCACCACAGTTCAAAAGCATTAATTCTTCAGCACTCAGCTTTCTTTATGGTCCAACTCTCACATTCATACATGACTATTGGAAAAACCACAGTTTTGACTGGATGGACTTTTGTTGGCAAAGTAACGTCTCTGCTTTTTAATATGCTGTCTAGGTTGGTCATAGCTTTTCTTCCAAAGAGTAAGCATCTTTTAATTTCATGGCTGCAGTCATTACCTGCAATGATTTTGGAGCCCAAAAAAGTAAAGTCTCTCACTGTTTCCATTGTTTCCCAATCTATTTACCTTGAAGTGATGTGACCAGATGCTATGATCTTAGTTTTTTGAATGCTGAGTTTCAAGCCAGCTTTTTCACTCTCCTCTTTCACTTTCATCAAGAAGTTATTCAGTTCTTCTTCACTTTCTGCCATAAGGGTGGCATCATCTGCATACCTCAGCTTATTGATATTTCTCCTGGCAATCTTGATTCCAGCTTGTCCTTCATGAGGCCCGGCATTTCACATGATGTACTCTGCATATAAGTTAAATATGCAAAGTGACAATACACGGGTTTGACATTCTCCTTTTTTAATTTGGAACCAGTCTGTTGTTCCATGTCCATTTCTAACTGTTGCTTTTTGACCTGAATACAGATTTCTCAGGAGGCAGGTCACGTGGTCTGGTATTCCCACCTCTTGAAGAATTTTCCACAGTTTGTTGTGATCCAGACAGTCAAAAGCTATGACATAGTAGGTGAAGCAGAAGTAGATGTTTTTCTGGAATTATCTTGGTTTTTCTATGATGCAACGAATGTTGGCAATTTGATCTCTGATTCCTCTGCCTTTTCTAAATCCAGTTTAAACATCTGAAAGCTTTCAGTTCATGTACTGTTGAAGTCTAGCTTGGAGAATTTTGAGCACTATTTTGCTAGAGTGTGGGATGAGTGCAACTGTGAGGTACTTGGAACAATTTTTGGCACTGCCTTTCCTTGGGATTGGAATGAAAACTGACCTTTTCCAGTCCTGTGGCCACTGCTGAGTTTTCCAAATTTGCTGGCATATTGTGCGCAACACTTTATCTTTTGAGTGCAAATTTACTGGCATATTGAGTGAAACAGCATCATGTTTTAGAATCTGAAAAAGCTCAACTGGAATTCCCTCCCCTCCACCAGCTTTGTTTGTGGTGACCTTCCTAAGGCCCACTAGACTTCACCTTCCTGGACGTCTGGCTCTAGGTGAGTGATCACACCATCATGGTTATCTTGGTCATGAAGATCTTTTTTGTATAGCTCTGTGTATTCTTGCCACCTCTTCTTAATATCAGTTGAAAAGGACATCTTCTTTGGTTTTAATTCTAGAAGGTCTTGTAGGTCTTCATTGAACCATTTCAACCTCAACTTCTTTGGCATTAGTGGTTGGGGCATAGACTTGGATTACTATGATATTGAGTACTTGCCTTGGAAATGAACATTCTGTTGTTTTTGAGATTGCACCCAAGTACTGCATTTCGGACTCTTTTGTTGACTATGAGGGCTATTCCATTTCTTCTAAGGGATTCTTGTCCACAGTAGTAAATACAATGATCATCAAATTAAATTCGCCCATTTCAGTTGATTTCAGTTCACTGATTCCTGAAATGTCGATGTTCACTCTTACCATCTCCTGCTTGAGCACTTCCAATTTACCTTGATTCATGGACATAACATTCCAGGTTCCTATGCAATACTGCTCTTTACAGCATCAGACTTTACTTCCATCACCAGTCACATCCACAGCTAGGCTTTGCTTTGGCGTTGGCTCAGCCTCTTCATTCTTTCTGGAGCTGTTTCTCCAATAGTATATTGGGCACCTACTGACCTGGGGAGTTCATCTTTCAATGTCATCCTTTTGCTTTTCCTGTTCATAGGGTTCTCAAGGCAAGAATGCTGAAGTGGTTTGTCATTCCCTTCTCCAGTGGACCACATTTTGTCAGACCTCTCCACCATAGCCCATCAGTCTTGGGTGGCCCTACATGGCATGGCTCATAGTTTCATTGAGTTAGATAGTAACTCATATTTTAGATAGTAACCCAATAAAGCTCTACTATTTTTAAGGTGAAAGATGTCTTTCCCTACATGATATTACTCTTAGTTTTCTCATGAAGTTAATGAAATAATTGTATTAGTTGTTCCAAAATATTTATATATGTAAATAGTAAATAATAAAATGTATTTTTTAAATGCTTATATGTATATTTCAGGTAGAGGAGCAAGTACAAGTATTGTCTATGGTTGAAAATGATGAGCTCCCTTTTTAATGAGTTGCATTTGTAATTTCTTCAGTTTAGACCAAGATTATGCAAGTTCTCTTTTATTTGGTATTTTTTTATCATTCCAGCTGCAATCCTTGATGAGTTGTATATAAGATTATATCATTAATCACATTCAAATTTTTGTTGCTCTCTCAAGAGCAATCAATCTAGATTTTTACTTTTTTTAGACTCTGATCCACAATACCCAAATGCTACAATATATTTAAAGTTAATCCTGAGGTAGGAAAAATTATTAAAAAGTAATAAGTATGGAAGAGTAGTTGGCTAAAGGCAATCAGTGGCTGTGCAAACATTAACAACTTCTTTATTGCAGTAAAAATCCCTCATTAGACCACAAAAAGGCAAGTTTTCTTAATTTAGATTTCATTTCAACCCATATACATACATAAACTAAAAGAGTTCTGAAAGAATTGTTTAATTTTAAAAGTGGTATGATTCTGGTTCTTTGCTAGTCTGGAAGTTATTAGATTATTGAATTTGATAGTGTTGATTCCACAATGGGGAAAAAGCTAAAATGTAAAGTAACACTATACTTTTAATGAACAATGAGGTTGGCCTATCCCAATTTCAATTTTTATTTTTAGAGTGAGTTTAAGAGTGACTTTGAAATAGAAATCAGATGTGTGACTTTCTACCAGTATTAGTCTTTGCAAACTGCCATAACAAGGCATCACAGATTGGGTGATTTAAACAGCATACATTTATTTTCTCAGTTTTTGAAGTTACAAGTCCATGATGGAGGTGCCAGAAAATTCAGTTTCTTCCTGACTTAAAATGGAGAAGGCAATGGCACCCCACTCCAGTACTCTTGCCTGGAAAATCCCATGGATAGAGGAGCCTGGTAGGCTGCGGTCCATGGGGTCGCTAAGAGTAAGACATGACTGGACTGAGAGGCTTCAATTTCACTTTTCACTTTCACGCATTGGAGAAGGAAATGGCAACCCACTCCAGTGTTCTTGCCTGGAGAATCCCAGGGACGGGGGAGCCTGGTGGGCTGCCATCTGTGGGGTCGCACAGAGTCGGACACAACTGAAGCAACTTGGCATGCGTGCATGCATTGGAGAAGGAAATGGCAACCCACTCCAGTGTTCTTACCTGGAGAATCCCAGGGAAGGGGGAGCCTGGTGGGCTGCCATCTCCACTGTGCATTGCAGGAGGGAGGGAGAGAAAGGGAGAGACAGAAAGAGAAAAGGAGAGGGGGCGAGGGGGAAATGCACTGTGGTATCTGTCTTCTTATAAGGCTACCAGACCATCAGGTTAGGATCCTTACGACTTCATTTAAGCTGAATTACCTCCCTGAAGAATCTACCTTTGAATACAGTCACTTTGGGAGTTACAGTTTCAACATATGAATGTGGAGGGCGGGACTACTACCCTAATGCCACCTAAAACGATAATTGTACTTCTCATAAAGTTCCATGTTTAGGTGAAGTTCTTCTTAGAGCTTCCATGCCACTTTTGAGCATATGCATATGATATTTCTGGTCATTTTTATTTTTCAGATCAGCATTTTCATGACCCATTTATCAAACTATGGGAATGACCGCCTAGGGTTGTACACCTTTGTGAACCTGGCCAACTTCGTTCAGAGCTGGACCAACCTGAAATTGCAAACTCTGCCTCCAGTGCAACTAGCACACAAGTACTTTGACCTCTTCCCTGAGCAAAAAGATCCTCTCTGGCAGGTAACACTGAACATTCTCTCCTGGGGTGAAAGAGAAAAAACTAGCAATTTGTGAGCGCTGAATTGATGTTGGGAACTCTGCTGGAAATACTATAGCTGGCATTTAACACAAACTTCTTTTTTATCCAGTAGTTTTATTCTCTTCAATGATGCTTTGTGTTTTGTGGATTGCATATTTGCATTTGGGGTTTGTTTTTCTGAGGTTTTGTTTGTTAGTCAGTTGGTTTGGAAGCTTTGCCTAGAAGATATTGTTTCATTGTTGGTATTTTCTTAGAGCTGATCATTTTGACTTGAGTTTAGCGGGACCACTGACTAGCAGGAAAACGGTTAGGTGTTAGGTATCTAGTGTTGAGGCAGTCTGAGTGCAGGTTGGGAAAGAATTTCCAAACATAGAGCATTTCAGAAAGCAGGAAGTTCATTAAGAAAAAACAGCAGAGATAAAGTTGGGCACTGCGAGCGCAGTGGGCCAACACCTCCTGACAGGCCAGGGAGAGTCAACCATTTTAGTGAGTTAATAGCCAATTTTTATAGCCTCAAAACAAAGGAAATTCCTGCTGGATGGTTTGCATTAGGTGATTGGTTGGGGGTGCTAGAGGGTGTTTACTGGAGTGGGCATCTTTGCCTAACTGGGAATCAGGGAGCTTGTTAGTGATTACCAGGGGGCTTTTGGTAACAGTTACAAAGGCGCTTAGTCAGCTTTGGAGGTGACCTTGGTTCTGGGGACTCATCATCTAAGAAGATGGGCTTTCCAAGTGGCTCAGCAGAAAAGAACCTGTCTGCAATGCAGGTGCCACAGGAGACATGGGCTGATCCCTGGGTTGGGAAGATCCCTGGAGGAGGAAAGGGCAACCCCCTCCAGCATTGTTGCTGGGAAAATCCCATGGACAGAGGAGCCTGGTAGAAGTCCATGGATAGGATTGCAAAGAGTCGGACACAACTGAGCACCTGATCACACAGAGCACATGTCTAGGAAGACAGAAATCAAGGGCCACCATCATCCAAATGTCTATAACTAGACCTTGATATGTATGTGTACAACACAGATAGTCTAAATAAAAAAGGAAAGGCAAGTTTTACTTCAAGCTCATACAGATTCTATCTTTAATATGTCTTCATGGTTTTTAAAACCAGTCTTGCAGTAGGTCAGATCTATTGGTAAAAAATTGTCAATTTTAATTCAGCTTTATGTGGGAGCTACTAAGCCTCAGGGCATGAAAATGTAAACTAGCTGCTTCTTACCATTTATCTAGGAAAATGCTACCTTCTACTTTCTTGGTTCTTTATGCATCAGATTACATTGACCCACACAATCAATAAGCTGACTGCAGAGAGCAGATCAGATGGTCCCCTGCTAAGTAGTCAGTAGAGGAGTAGCATCCTCATTAATGAGAAATCACTGTGAAACAGACTTTTTTACCATTTCTTCTCCCTCTCTTGTGTTTCTCTTTATTCCATAATTCATGTTACATGCCCTTCTGTGTCTATATGGTAAAAAAAAAAAAAAAAAATCTTCCATATGTTTATTGAGCATCTCCTATGTATGAGACAATGCTAATAGCTCTAGAAAATTCAAAGAAGAATAAAATGTAGTGCTTTCTGTCGAAGTCAATGAAACATTTTCTCGTTATTTTTATTCACTGTTACATATTTTAAAATCTGTTTTAAACAGCTACTGTAAGTCATACTTTATTTTAATGATTTATTCAGCAGTTTGGTGTATATATTAAGTAAACATATAAAGACATAGTTTTTATAATAGTGTGGATAGTCATATATACATTGATGTTGAATTTCATAAAGGCAAAACCTTGTGTCCCATAAATGGTAGTTAAAAGTGCTCACATACTTACAAAATTGATAAATCATTGATAGTAAATCAATTCTTTTCTCACATATTTTTATTTATAAGATATCTATAATTCATGGTACAGGAACAATAAAAAGTAGCCAACTTAACCAAGGTGATAGATGATCTAAAAAATGAGTCAGTGGCCGAAACTCTACTATCTTCAAAGGGGAAAAAGATGCCTTTTTAAATGAAAAATTTATACATCTTAATGCTTTATGAGTTTTTAAAAATAAATAATTGTGTTCACTGATAGTTTTCCTTCTCAGTGACACTAATTGTTTTCTTTGGAAATGAGCATAATCAAAAACACATCAGCTCCAATAAGATTTGGTCAATATGATGGTTTTAAATTTGATGATCACATGTTAGCTATGAAATACTGTGCTTGTTGAATAGGGGTATAAATGAAAATTAGAAAAAGAAAATAGCATTATTCCTTAGAGAACTGCATCACTTTGGAAGACACAAGAACATATGCATACACAAAGAAAAAAAGACATTTGTGAGTGTGACTGTTATAATTTTGAATAGCATCATAGAGGTAAATTCCTAGGGAGTTCTTAATAAATGATATAATTAATCAGAAAAGGCATCAGATAGTTCACAAATTTAAGTTGCTGTTTTCATTCATATTTCTATTATCAAAGCATAGCTTATTATAAGAGTATTTAAATAATGTGGAAAAAATGGAAAGTGGAGTTGCTGAGTCGTGTCCGACTCTTTGTGACCCCTTGGGCTGTAGCCCACCAGGCTCCTCCGTCCATGGGATTTTCCAGGCAAGAGTACTGGAGTGGGCTGCATTTCCTTCTCCAGGGGATCTTCCGCACCCAGGGATCGAACCCAGGTCTCCCGCATTGTATACAGACGCTTTACTGTCTGAGCCACCAGGGAAACCTTTAATACTCAAGAGTAAATGTTTACTAAAAGTCTCCTGTTTTATTACATGAATTATATTATTTATATGGTTACTTTTAACTGAAAAATGAAGTTGTAAACATTTCTTATTAACTAACGTGCCATATGTTCCCAAATGTATTTAAGAAAGAAAACAAGGGCTAGTAAGCAGAATTGCAGTTAAGTTGAACAGGGAATTATTCACATATATGAGATTTTTAGAACCATAGACTTATTGAAACAAAACTTTTCCAGTCATAAAGAATACCCAGTGAACCAGTGAAGTTGCTCAGTCGTGTCCAACTCTTTGCGACCCCGTGGACTGTAGCCTACAAGGCTCCTCCATCCATGGAATTTGCCAGGCAAAAGTACTGGAGTGGGTTGCCATTTCCTTCTCCAGGAAGATATTCCCAACCCAGGGATCAAATCCAGGTCTTCCGCATTGCAGGCAGACATTTTACCATCTGAACCACCAGGGAAGCCAGAAAACTGCAAAGGATCTAGTGAAGATAAAGGGCATAATACTTTTGATTTCCTTTCTATGGTGATTTTCTCTTCTCATTTCATGCTTATAATAGCAAGCAAACAAAATGGCTATAAGCATTATATTTGTGTCCTTTATACAGCATCAATTTAATTTTACAAAATATATATAATCATGAAATTGAAAGTGTCACTCAGTCATGTCTGACTCTTTGTAAGCCCATGGATTGTAGCCTGTCAGATTACTTTGTCCATGGAATGTTCCAGACAAGAATAGTGGAGTGGGTAGCCATTTCCTTCTCCGGGGACTGAACCCAGGTCTCCCGCATTGCAGGCAGATTCTTTACTACCTGAGCCACAAAGGAAGCCCTACATGTAAGCATAACCAACACTAATGAAAGGTTTTACAGTCCATTCATCACAACCCTACAGAGATAAGATCAATTAATATTATGTGTCTCTGTCACTACTATACATTCTCTAAATTAAATGTTGCAGATACTGTATTATATTTATTATAAACATGCCTTTTTATTTAGTGCATTTCTCTTTGAAAAAGCCAACTGTTATCTTTCCTTAGATTTTCAATTCACACTTTTTTATTGTCACAAATAAAAAGAAAATGTGCAAAATGATAATCTTAACAGCTATTTAATTTCCTTTGGTTCCTTATGTAGATTTTCATTAGCACCAACTAACATATATGTGAAAATGTCTTTGTCACCTAATTAAAAAGTGCAATACGAATATCTGTCAGTGGCCAGCAGCGAAAGCACAATGCAGAATGTTCTCCTTCACTGGAAGTGGATTCCGGGCAGTTTAATGTGAGAATATGTACTGAGCTCACATGAGGTCTATCCCTAGAGTACATCCTCCTCTGTGTAGTCCCTGGTGTGGAAGATTCTTAAAATTATACTCATGGGTGTCTATTAATTCATGCCCCTTTTTGTTTGGGTGGAATAATGACTATAAAGCATAAAAGAATAAGGTTTCCTCTTTTTTTTTTTTTTAACTCCCATTATAGAAACCAAAGCCCCAACATGGAGACAGTTGGAAGGTCAGATCATTGCACATTCACTAATCGATGCTTTTAAGCTCTCAAGCTGTCAGTTTAGCTCAGTCTCAATCTCCAGTCAGTCACTCCAGGGTCTCACTATCAATAAACGTGCCAAGGATGATGTGGATTCCTGCTCGCCTGTGTGACCAAGGGAATGCTCAAAGAACTGCAGCTCTTCTCTTTCTAGTCCAGTGTCTCTAAGAGTAAAGAAATAGGGGAACAAAGCCACAGGGTGCTAACCTTAGGGAATTAGCACCTTGGTAGATTCTCGCTGGGAAATCATTTAACTCCCGCTTGGAAATGAGATCTGAATGTCTATGACATAAACAAATCACATGGTCTAGTGATACAAACACTGTATATTCTGTGAGTTGGTGCCGACATGGAGAATTAGGAATTGTAATAGCAGGAGGCAGTAGGACATCTAGCTCAACCTATTCATTTTAGACACCTGAGGAGGTACAATGTCTTGTTCTAAGTTACTTGACTTATTAGGGACAAGTCAGAACTGAAGCTCAAGTTGCCTTATTATTCCTGGAACTCCAGTTTAGTCCCAACCACACCAAGATGGTAGTTTTATGTTTAGAATAATAAATACACTTCTATCATTGACTGTCTACGTAGAACAAAAAATCAAGAATACCTTGTGACTTCAGAAGCACAGGATGGAGTACTCAGTGTGAATTTACGCAAAAAATGCTTTTGAAATACCTGTATA